AGTACTAGAAATACCCTCAGGATTTTGGTTTTTGCCATTTGTAGTAGGATTGGCATAACAGCTTTTACATCATCATCAGCAACCATGATGTCATTTCTCAGGAGGGTCAGCCACAAACCATTGGTCAAATGAGACAAAGCCTAAAACAAGAAACAAACACACTTCAGAATCACTACTATACTCAAATCATGGATTGGATAATTCATAGTTTCATTGTCAACATCTTTGCAACTAGTTTACAAGCTCCAGTTTTCTTTTGTTTTGCTGCAGTTCCAATTGAGATTGCTTACAGTATAGGAGCATATCCTTCAAGGTTTTGTAGCTAAAGAAACCAGGAGTATCACTGTCTTTGCCCCACCCCACACTCTTCCTATATGGGGTACAAGTCCATTGCATCTTGTCATGGCAGCAGCAATCCACCCAGTAGTGGCTACCCAGATTTATTATCCCTTTATATAAGAATTTCACATACCAAGCTGCCATGTTTAGTAAAGGTAAGAATGGWTTCAAGGTACTGTTTGAAGGTTTCTGGTTTGCCTTTTGGTCTTTCTTTACTCTGTTAAGAAGAAAGACAGGATGTGATATGATTACATAGTAAAGGCATAGGACAATCACACTGCGCTAGGAAGTACTCTCCATTCATTATCAAATACCCAAAACATGGCACAAACACTGYGCAGACAAGGTAACAGAAAACTGCTCTATAGCTAGTGAGCTTGTCTCACATCACAACGCCCTACAAAAAATGTGTGTGAATGACATAAATTTTAGTGCTTAGAATCAATCAGAAAAAAGAGACATACAGTGACAGACCATGCTCTGGAACCAATCAATAAGCAAGTTTTATCATAGACCATGTTTGGGAACCAATCATAAGGAAACGTTTTTATAGAMCATGCCAGGTCACAAACAAATTAAGATTCTGTATCAATTGGAAAGAAAGCATACTTACCCACATCTGTAATAACTGTACTGATCCTAAAGTAATCAGAACCTGGCACAACCTCTTCAAGAACAAGTATTCCTTCTCGTCATACTCTGAATTACATGCTTGACTGAAAAACAAAATTATTTGACAATTTACATGTGGAGTCATTTAAACACTTGCTCTGGCTTTCTTTGGAAACAAGGACAAGAAAGTTTTTTTTTTGGCTGTATTTGTTTTCCCTTGYTACATAATTAATCTAGTAACTTACTCATTGAACTCTTCTGGTTACTGTAAAAATTTAAATGGAATTAAAATAATACTTCAGGAGTGTGGAAAACTTATAAGGGCATTAAAGGTGCAAGGGGTACATGTAAGATCCCATCCTCGTCGCCAAATGTAGTAATACTCATCTAAGAAGACCACATGATTTCCTACATCCACTTCAAATCCTTTATTTTTAACGACAAGGCACCCAATGCTTTACATGTGTGAACTGACATGGCCGCTGACAGGCGCACGACACTACATGTAGGAATCTCTATCTTGTTTCAAGGGTTTTCCTCCATCTTTATTTCTGCACAATTATTCCTGTTAGCTTCAGCTAGGCCTTGCATTCTTTCCCTAACTCAAAATAAGCCACTGATTCATGTGCTATATACCAGTACCATCAGTATTACTCACCCTGCAGCTTTGTGCATAAACTGCATGGCATCGTGACTGAACAGACGACCATATTCAAGTTTTTGATCAAATTTTCCCTGGGAACATTAAACAATTAGAACTAATAATTAGATTTACCAAACAAACACCTCTAAAGAGTACTTTTTATCAATAAGGATACTACTTTTTATACTACTTTTTATCAATAAGGAATCACTATAATTTGAAGTACACTAATGTAAAGGGGAAAGGAAGTATTTGGCATTTGTGAATATTCTCACTGATGCTTACATAAGGCTAACCATGAGTAAATGAGTCTGTAAATGACAAACACATTTCTAATTTGAAAATTTTCTATTTCTCAACAGTGTACAACTAAAGATGAACCTAGAACAGCAGTTATAAAGCTCTACTACAATGTAGTTATAATCGAGCCACACAAAAATATAGGATTCATACAACAAGTAGCAATGAATGTGACATRAGAGATCTGCCCACCTTTCTGCTGACTATAATGAGCAAGCATTCACATGCGGGAATTTTAAGTGGTTCTTCATCTAACAGCAAGCACAGGATTTGAAGCAGAATACAATCTTGTAAGAAGAGGATGTTGAATTTTACCCAGTCAAGGAATCCTTGCAGCGTCATTAACGCCTGTTCTGCAACTCTTTGGTGTATTAGTGCCTGTGCATGAAAATCGTGAGACYATTAACATCAAACACTATGAATTATTAATGATTAACAATGAACTAACATGAAATGAATGAATGAATGAAACAAACAAACAAACAAAGAGACAAAGAAACAAAGACAGAAAGAARTAATGAAAGAAAAAGAGAGAACGAATGAAAAAAAGCTATCTTACCTTTGATTTWAAATTAAATTTTCCGAATTTAATTCCAAGGGCTTTCGCCCGAATTAACCTCRTTCCCAAGCACTATAACTTATCTATATTTCTATATCTTCATGTATTTCATAAGTGCTATGCAGTCCACATATTCTCATATTCCTATCTTACCTTTGATCCATTAAGAGAAGATGGATTATTTTTCTGCAAATTATAACAAGAATCATAGTCATTTGTTAATAGCCTATTTGTACCAACAGTCAATGTAACCCTACCCTCTCCCCCTTAAACCAAGCCAAAATAAATACTAGAAATGAAAAAAGCACCTTGTTGCCCTACACAAGGGAAGCACAGGTAATGTAGCAAAGATWTCCTGACTCATTATCATAAATAATGCGAGTAGAGTTTGTATTTGCTTCTTTCCTGTACCTCTCTTTAGAATGTGAAAAAGCACAAACTGATATACTAACAACGATGGTAATGCKGTCAGACAATGGTAATGAAAAGCAAAGGATGACAGTACCAACATGAAAATAAGTTTAAAAACATGTTCACATCAGTATAATGCAGTTGCTTTTCTCAATGCTATTAGTAAGGAGAGGTTTAGCTCRTAATTGTAGAAAGTCTATGTTACGAAATCGCATAGTACCGTATCAATCATAGCAGTTGTACTTGATCTCAATGTTTCAATAAAGAAAGAGAAAAACTCTTCCATATGAAGGTGTAGACATTGAGTGATTTCTCTCTTTCTGTTTTGATGTAGGTGACTGTCCATACTGATACTGTCCTCCGCCAGTCGTAGAAACACCATTAATACTAGCTCTTTTTGGGTGTCCTACAAGATAATTATTAATGGATATTTATGTTATTACTTTTTTWAAATTCAATACGTGAAGGCTTTGTTATGCAGTGAACCATTTTGCTAAAACTGGTGATTTATGTAGCTCAGATTAAAGAAAACTTCAAGATTATCTTAAGTACTTACTGTTACATTATAATTATTCTGTTAATCAGACTCGTACCCAGTCCTCATTTCTTTCATGCTTTTTTGCGCACGGTGGCTTTTGGGAAGGACCAGGAACTCACTTAATCCTTCCCATCAACCACAGCTTGAGATCAATAAGACAAGAGAAGCGGCTGGGTACTAGTCTGACTGCTAATGGCRTGACATTACATCACGCCCTATATAGAATTATTTAGTTTGATTTCAGAGCTGATTTGTTAGTGACTAGCCTGGACTAAGGACCTGTGTAGAACCATATATTAGTACTCAATAATGCATARCATAACACTTACCCCCATATTACAGATCATTGTTAAATCTTGTAAGAGTGATTCCCACTTCTGTGGCCATTCTCTCTTAATTATTTCAACTACTAATCTGGCTAATGACTCTTTAATATGAAGGGGCTCCTCCAATACCGGTTTTGTGCCCTAAGGAAGAAATCACAAATGAAATTTGTTTTAGCAGTAAATAACAACAGATATTGAAAAACTAATAAATCTATTAAGCTTTGGCATTACCATGGAGTGCCTCAAAGGTCTGCTCTAGGGCTCTTTCCCTTCCTTTTATAAACCATTTACATTTAATAATAATTTAGCCAGTGCTTTAGGATTTTTAATATTTCATGTATAATGTCTGCTGTGGAGTGCCTCAGAGGTCTGTTTTAGGTTTTCCATTACTATTCTTACATGATAATGATTAAACCAGYGCTTCAAGACTTTTTTATGTTTGATGYATAATAACTATTGRAGATGAAGCTAAGAAACACATTTTATTTAAATATTTAAACARCATYATTAATAATATATTAATCATAATAAGATTTACATTGACAATCAATTYTAGGGATGTGCACTTTAAGCTCTCATGTTGGAGACTTTCCATTGTGTTCCATTTGAACCTGAAGAAGAAGGAAATTTAATGAGAAAAATAGAAGAGGTAAGATTGAAGAGCTGATTGGGATACCTGTGTTACAGCTTATTTGTTTGTTTTAATTACAGATTCCTTTGCAATTAATCAAAAGATTTCTGGGTTTTATCTTAGGTACTATTCGCTTTAGTTTAACGGTTTTTAAGTAATTTAATTTTCATATAAGCTTAAGAAATAATATCTAAGCTTAGGAAATAGACGCAAAAGACACCGATCGCTTACTTGACGCAGTGTTCCAGCAGTTGTAGGCCCAGATGTCGAACAATCGGCGAGTTATCTTTGTTAAAAAGACGAAGCCCTACATCTGCACACAGCGGTGAAGCGTTCTTGAACTGCTCGACRAACTACGAACAAGAGAAAACATTTTTGAACTCTGATTTTGAAAAGCGCGCGCTTCCGTCAGCAGAACCGTCACTGAAAAGCTTAACATTKCATGACTAAAATTAGTCCTAAGAACAAAATTTGAATGCAGGACTAACCTCGTAAGCATTAGCACGTWGTTGCGAGGCTGCTAGAGGATCAAGAGTGATTTCAACAGCTTCTTTCAGCTGTTTTTCTAAGTTTTTGACTTGATCTTCACTGGYGGCCGCCATCTTGGTTGCSGCAAATGCGCGTGCGTAGGACAAWTCACCGCTGGATATCGTAGTGCGCGGACTCGATTCCTATGAAAAAAACACGCGAATATTAGATTCATATTTTGACAAGTTGATCAGACAAATTGGATTCTAAATGAGTTAAAAGATTTATAACCTTATTCAAGGGTGTACCTGGCTCAACTGATGAATGATTGAATGTTTTAGGAGGCCATTTTCTATTCGGTCTTATGATAACAAAGCTGCGAGGACTTWTTCTGCAGGTCGGCGAAACATCTCGACGGCGCCATGCGAAGTGAACCTTAACCAAAACGACACGGTCCTTCTACTACATCATTCATAAATATCTGCTTCAAGTCCAACAGTCGACTCGTATTTTCACAGCTGCTGCAAAATGGCGGACGATGGAGTTGCAGAAGGCATCAATGCGGAGATTCAACAAGAGATGTACATCCCTGTACGAACCTTGGGCAGAGGAGCTTTTGGTGAAGCTGTTCTTTATCGAAAAATCGAGGTATCAAAACACTTGATTTGTACTTCTTCTTAAGCAGCTTTTCATGTTCTCATGAAATTATATTCTAGATATTTTTCGATGGAAAACAAAAAATTCTGYTTTCAAAACGAAAGTTGCTGATTTGGAGAAGTTGATACTATTTTTTGCTTTGAGTTTTGTTGGGGAAAAAGTTAGCTCATTTTCGTGTGTTTTTTGAGGTGGAAAAATAGTCAAAACACAAAAACAAACATTGGTTTTACCCTTTTGAAGGCTCTTTGTTCCACTTCCGCAATGGGAATACAAGTTTAACTTGATTCGTTTACTCAATTGTGTATAAAAACTCATTTATCGGTYTTATTTCTTCGAAAAAAAATGCCTCGTTTTTGCTCGATTAAAGACAGACAAAACCATTTTCCTTCGAAACTACTGAGCCATGTCCACTAGGCTGTGACGCTTAGCGTGTTTACAAAAAAATAATGCAGAATCGAGTGCTTGTTGTAGATTTATTATGCAGTGGAACTAGTTGTCATGAATCAGTCAGTACTGTTGAAAGGTGTAAGACAAGGTTCAACATGTAGTTGACATTGTTACCTGAGAACTCCAAATTCTTAGCATTTGTCAACAAGGTTTTGTGTGCAAGTAAAGCAGATGTTAAATTTCTGTTTGCATTTATGTCTGATGCACATTTTGGATATGATTGGAATATTTTGATTGATGGCCATCAGGTTTCGTTATAGTGCCTTTTCAAAGGCGATCTTGAATTGTGCCCTTAAGGTACAAAATGACGACATGAGCATGCTTATTAAAACAGTTTTTCATGCTAGCAATGTTATCCTTGTTGTTGTCTTCCTCACTAGAGCAATATAGTTTGTGCTTTTTCATATCTTAGAGAGAACAGCAATGCCATGGACAATGCAAGTGCACAWGAACAACTGTTTTAAAAACATGCTCTTGCAATCATCTCAGGTTGCCGACCTCAGTCCTCGTGAATGCTTCTCTTTTTCTCTATTATTTGCTCGGGGGAGGGGAAGGGGAAAATGAGATGCAGTACCAAAAGAGGTTTTTCATTTATAATCACATTATATGCCAGCCATGTTGGATGACACAAACGAAAAATCATTTTACATAAGAAAGAATGAAATTCTATTACTCTGYCATCTAACATTGCTGCTAGTAGTGAAATGCTGCCGGCATGCAAAACCTCAATGGCGACTCTGCATATGTGCTATACTATATTATCACTAATGTCTTTATTATTTAGGACAACATGCTTGTCGTTTGGAAAGAGGTTAACTTGAGTAGAGCAAGTGATAAAGAAAGGGATGACGCCCTTAAAGAAATTGACATCTTGTCATTATTAAACCACCCAAACATAGTGTCATACTTCAATCACTTTATCGATGGGACTTCACTATTTATTGAAATGGAATATTGTAATGGTAAGCCTTTTTTTGTAATTCCTGTAACCTAGGCAACTCCAGACATAGCTATCTCCTTACTGGTTWGACATCCCTTGATTAACCTTACAGTTGCAACAGGGGTGAATTTAGGAGAGGAATACAGGGAGTGCACACTCACTTCCCACTAGATGAGCTGATATCTAATGCAATATTGTTACTTGAGTCTGTGAAAGGCTTACRGTGTTCATAAATAACATACCCCTTCTAGAAAAGTCTTGTTCTGCTCCTGGCCATAGCAAAGAAATATTTGTTTGAAGGCATGACATGTTAAAGTTGTGTCAGGAACATAAAAAGCATGATTTCATTGATTTTTTTTCTTCTTTTTTTCCAGGAGGAACACTTCATGACAAAATAAACCAACAAACTGACTTATTCAAAGAAGAGGTTTGAACAAAATAAACTTGTTTGAAAAAATAAAATTAACCAATTTTTGCTGGTCTATGTCAATCGATATAACCTTCAAAAAGAAGCCAAGAATTCTAGAATAAGAACTAATAATGTATAAGTGCACGTGTGAGCACCTTCCTATGGAAAATGCACAATATTAGATTATTATTATTAAATATTAGTGTGTGTAATGATCTATTAATGTTTTATTTTCATGTAATATACAGCTTGTAATATGGTACTTCTACCAGATTTGTACTGCATTGCARCATATCCATGAGAATGACATTGTTCACAGGTGAGAGAAAAATGAATGAATACATGAATGGAAAGTGAAGAGAACAATCCCACTACAACGTTATATCAGCTAGCTACTTTGACATTACTCCCCCTTATCAAKTACGAGCATACTCTAACCAACCCCATATACGATGAACTACTTTGGCAATCCAGCAGCCATCTTGGATTGAAAGGGATTATGGGCATACCAGTGGACAAAGAGAAACAAAGATAATGAATGATATAGAGACTTTGGCTGTAATAATGAAAGGCTATACAAAGAAAAATATATCATCAAGCCTAACATTAGCTCTATATTTGCCCCTCAGACATCCCATAATGCCTTGTAATCAAATATGGCTGCCATGTTGTGGAAGTAGTCTACTGCCTAACCACACCCCTACCCCCTATAACTCACTTTTCTGGATACATATKGACACTGCTTATTGTCACTCCATTTCTGCAGCCCATCCTTCCACTTACAGAAGTTTTTTCTCTTAGAGACATAAAAGCAATGAACATCTTTATGACAAAGTCTGGTCTGGTGAAACTAGGAGATTTTGGTATCTCTAAAATACTTGATTCAGAAGGCATGGCTGATTCTGTAAGTAAAACACTGTGATTTGATGCGTTTGAAGGGTTGATCTACCCTCACTAAAAAGAGTATGTGTGCTGAAAGTTGTATGTATGGAGCATTATTGAAATGTAGTGCTTTTGCGTGAGAATTAAGTTTGGTGTAGTGGGAAYCATGTAGTAGCAGTTCACTTGTCTCATCAAAGGGGTCTCAGGTTCAATTCCTGGCCTTACTACACATTTGAGCAGAGTTAGGTCATTCTCTTGATTCTAGTGTTTTTCTCTGTGTCGTACAGTTCTCTTTCCTCCATTAAACAGATCCTGTCAGAAGATTAAATTGCCTTTTTTATTTTAGATAGTAGGAACTCCATACTATATGTCACCAGAAATAGTACAAGGCAAAAAGTGAGTTTAWTATAAGTACTGAATAAAAATAATAGAGTTGTTATTGTAATGTAGAGATGTCAATGCAGGCGTGTCAAGTGGTTAGGGGTCTCCGCACAGTTCACCAAGATTATGAAAGGATTATAACGGTTCATTTAAATTAATATTAAGCATCCACAATTCATACATTTTAGAACATGCTCGTATCATGAATTATGCAAAATCATTTTTCCACATCACATATCACAAAAATTTAAAACATCGCGATCATGTTTTTAGACAAATACCTAGCTCTTGCTGCCCTTGTCAATAATAATACAAGAATAATTGTGTTTTAGGTATAACCAAAAGAGTGATATGTGGGCATTGGGGTGTGTTTTATATGAAGTATTAACACTCAAGCGAGTGTTTGATGCTACGGTAAGTAACTTCATTTTTATTTACTTCTTCAAGGAAAGCAAGGGTGGAATAGTCATAGTAGTAGTGCACTCACCTCTGGGGTCTTGGGTTCAATTCCTTGACTCAGCATCACATTTTCCATCTTATTTGTGTAGTATAGCAGGGATAACCCTACACTCTCACTWAAGCAAACAGGGATAGATCCTGTAGGTTTTGAATTGTTCAAGTTGTTCGGAAATATTTCTTAAACATATCAGTTTAATTTTTGTTTTACTCTTTAGAATCCCCTTCGGCTGGTTTCAGAGATAGTCAAAGGTAAATATGAAGAGATTGATGAACGCTACACTGAAGATATGAATGACATGGTGACCAAACTGCTTGCCCTGGTAAGTCATCGTCCATACCATAGAAACCCTTTATATGGRCGGCAAATTGACTGAAAAAACAGACAAGAAACCTAATTTTACAAAGTACTCCGTTGTTGATGGCCACATAAAGTGGGTGAAATATTCAAGATAATAAGAATGTTCTATTTTTGTTATTTATTATTAAGTCATATGCTCCAAAAAACGTATTAGAATATGAGATACTGTGATTGGGACATTAGCACATATAACTATTTGAAATTCAGTCAGAAAACTTTTGAATTTAGTTCCAAWATTATATTAATTTGCCCTTAATAGAATCCAGATGATCGACCAACAATTGAGGAGTTGTTACAAACACCAATGCTAGCAAACCTGAAAAAGTATGTAGAAAATGAATCTAGAAAAATCCTTTGATAGCAAATTTCTTCAGGTTCTGTTTTCATTCATTCTCACGTTTTCTTGGTTTCTTTCTTTACCTTTTTTTCTTCTTTCTTTTTTTCATTTTTTTAGATTTTTCTTTATTTGCTATTTATTCCCTCTTTCTTACATTTTGTCATTTGTTTTCCCCTTCCTGCTGGTGTTTCCCTATTTCTTTGTTTTCTCATCCCATTCTCTTTTTCTTATTTATTTTTTTCATCTTACAGAGAAATGGATAATAAAGTTTGGCAGTTGAATGCTTCTACAAGAAGAGCAAGGTAAAAAWTTTTTACTATGATAATCATCGAATYGTGGAATAGTCCTGAGTTTTCTTATGATGGCCATGCCCACTTTAATTAATAAATTTCAAACACTCCATGGGTTCTTTAGTATGCCAACATTTTGGCTCCATCTTTACCACATACACATGGAATGTCTGAAATTCATTTTTAATTTCTCTTCCTCAATAGGCTTGCAACAGCGTCATCTGAGACAGTTCCTGTCGTCACCTCCAAAACAAGCGAAGTATATCCAAAATGAGCAAATTTTCTGTTAAGATCACAAAAGAAATATAATTTCTAAAGTGTTTGTTGTGTCGTAGGTGTTCTTCTGGGGTGCTGGAAAACAAATTCCTCAGAAACTTGACACATTTGTTAATGGAAACAGCGCACTACAGGTACAATTCTTCCATGCATTGTTTTAGCAAGAGCAAGAAATTGCTTTCATCCTTGATCATTTATATCAGATAATCACCTAAAATTGCTTTGTTTTGTAGGTTTCTGCAGGACATTCACATTTTGCAGTTTTGACTGTTGAGAAAGAAGTCTTTAGTTGGGCTGTAAGTATCCTGAAGGGTCATACCCGTATAGACCTATATGACGCTAGCATGACATATTGTAAGATGTTTGATTAATTGGAAAATGATAAAAGTAAAGCTTCAAAGTTTCATAGAGATTGCCCATATTGATGTAGATATAAATTTTTGAAGCCAAGCATTTTTGCAAAGAAATGTATCTGGTGAGCCTTGTTTTACATTTCTTTCCAAAAAAAATCACAAAAATACTTAAATTCAAAAGTTCATATAAAGTCCAAAAACACAGACAAGATAATAACTAAGTTCCTCAAAACAGCAAATATACTCAAAGATGTGGATTGTTTTGTTCTTTAAGAATGCCCATGGAGGGAAGGAAATGTCAGGCCAGCTTGGTCATGGTGATGTAGCATGTTACAGGATGCCCAAGAGAATTGACCTACTGTATGGAATTCCCATAAARCAAGTGGCTTGTGGCGATGAGTTTACTGCGTGTATAACAGGTTTGCCCAGGGGAATTTTGCCCTCTCTTTCGCTTTTAAAAATGACAGAAAATAACAGACACTTGATTTCCACCCCAACAATGGGGCATTCTACGCATGCTGTGAAAATCTCAGTTCACTCCCTCCATCTTGATTCTTATCATTTTACATGCAACTGCAAAACTGTCTGGAAAATTAAAAGAAAAATAGTCTTTTCCCCTTAGTAAGAGAAAAGATGTACACTATTTTCCATTAATCTCATAAGCATGTGCAATACTTTATAAGTTAAAACTGATCCTTATTATCTGTCGTTTKTTTTTTCTTCAGAAAGCAACGAAATGTATATGTTTGGTTCAGATTACTATGGCTGTATTGGCTGCAATAATGAAAAAGGAGAAGAGGTTCTATTACCATCGAAAGTGCCTTTTTTCATTAATAAACCGGTTGTACAGGTTTCATGTGGGGACTGTCACGTGGTGGCATTGACTGGTAAGAAAAGAAATAGAATGGGATTTACCACTCCTGGGTGGACGGTGAAATGCCRAACAGGTTTTGCAACCCACTTGATAAGACAGCCAATAAATCTAATTAGAATTGAGAAGTTGATTTTTAAGGAGGGAAGAAAAACTTACTGAAGGGCACAGAGAATAAACCTTTCAAGGATAGAAGAGAACCAACAGACAACTCTACTTACACACCACACCAAGCCCTGCAATTGAACCAGGGTTGCATTGATGAGAGAGGGTGCATTAGCATTGAAACCACCCTAGCTTCACTTCAAGATCTTAAATCTTTTTCATTTGCTGCAGGGGCAGTTCTGTCAAAGATGGCACAGCCTTAATTACAAGCAGCTAATCAATCAAAGARCAATAATATCCGATCATTGCAATGAATAAATTTATCGGTCTCAAGATTTTGATTATGAAAATGTTTATTTTAACAGACARTAAAGAAGTGTACTCTTGGGGCTGTGGCGAGCATGGTATGTTATATTTACAATGACCTTTAAGTATYGTTGAAGAAATAGACAATACACATGCTGTGTGCAGTTGTAAAGCTYGCTGAGATTGCCAGAGCATGAGAGAAGTGTTAGGAGAAGGATGATGCTCAGTGGTATTCTAATCAGTACCTTAATGTCCCATGTCTTTTTTAATTTTCAGGTCGTCTTGGTTTGGGTTCTGAAGATGATCATGCATTACCACAGAAGGTGAGCTTGCCCAAATATGACATTGCCTTATGGTTTTACCTTGCTAGATGGGCTACCTGTAGTAAGCAATGCACAGGAAACCCACCAGTTTTACAGAGAACCTCTATCATTGCTGGCATAGTTTTGTTGAGTATTGTTCAACAAAAATGCCTTTGCATGGCATAATGAAATGCTTCCCAGGTCTTGCTAGCCACAGGGTTGCTATGCACCATTTTTTTACTCGAATATTTCCATACCATAGGTTTCTCTTCCAAAATCCTGTAAAGTCAAGCGTGTTTACTGTGGTCCAGAGGGTACCTTTCTGCTCACTATTAATGGCAAGGTGCTGGCATTCGGCAACAATGATGAGAACCAACTAGCCCTGAATACCTTACACAGCCTGAAGAAAAGAGCAACTAAAGTAGGTCCTTAGCAATGAGTAGTTCCAGWAAATATCCATACCCCACCTACAAAGGAAATTGGAAATTCTGGAKGCSAGGGGGTCATACCACAGGGAGACTAGTAGTTATGTGTCATTATCATACCACAGGGAGACCAGTAGTTATGTGTTGTTATCATACCACAGGGAGACAATAGTTATGCATCGTTATCATACCACAGGGAGACCAATGGAAAAGGGTAGGATGACAACAGGTGATCTGCAGATACACAGGTAGACCAAGATTAGTTACTTAAAGTAATGTTTGTTGTAGGTGAGCACAGGTAGCCCACAATTAACAAACTTTAGAAGTCGTTAGACTAAATGAAGTAGAATAAGCCAGTTATAGGTATTTACATTATAGGAATATACAAGAAATCAGACAGATTGTCTCAACCATTCTTAACTCCTAATATGTCTCTCTGCAGGAAAAAGGTCACATGTTTCATGCAAATAACCCAACTGTTGTCCAATCACTAAGCAGGTAACAACACAATTTTTAAAATGTGAAAATTTGGACTCACAGCAAAATTCTAGAAATTTGGATATATTTCTATCCMACATTGATTTGCCATCTAATACTTGACTGGTGGGATACGGTAGAAATATATCCTAATTTCTAAAATTTGGCTCTGAGTCCAAGATTTTGACACTTGAGTTTCAGAGAAAGAGATGAAGCTTTCTCAAGAAACACACTGTTAGTTTGTAAAGAATTCAATCGGAATAAGGATTACACTGAGTCAAATAAAAATAAAAATGTACCTGTATTAAATTGGATAACAGGTGATTATAATAGTTTGTTTTGTATCTCTAGGTACACTGTATCAAGTATTGCWCCAGGGAAAACTCATTCAGCTATAATAGACAGTAAGTAATCAAAGATCTGCATTGTGCTTTCGTCAAGCAAATTTCGCTGATTTCGAGGCGGGGTTCAAATGTTTCAAAATTCTTTTCTGTGAAAAAGATATATGACTAAATACAAAAGTCCCCTTTACAGTTCCCAGCACCATCTTGAAAGGTAGCTGTGCCTTTGCATCGTAGCAAAACAAACGGTGAGCTTGCAATGATAGAGATGTGCAAATAATTGTCCAAGGTGTTAAAGAAAGGTCTCTATCATTACAAGCTCACTGTTCGTCTCGGTTCGATGCAAAGGCATGGCTACCTTTCAAGATGGCGCAGGGAACTGTGAAGGGGACTATTCCCATCTTTAATAACTTTCCAGGTGACAAAAACACACACTGATAAAAGTCTCAAAAGTACTAAAGTGTTTGACTATTGGTGGATAGCCAAAAACAAGRAGCAAAAACGTTTGCAATCCAAGATTGAATACGATGTTTCCCAATTATGAAAAAATATTTTAAATCTTGATTTTTTGCGCAATTTCAGCATGACATTACTAGCTATGGATATCAAAACAACAATCATAARATAAAAGCTGCAAATTCGGTGTAAAAACCGTATTGCGATCCGAAGTTCCAGTTAACTGAAGTCCAGTCCAGTCCATCCATACGCAGTTCCGGATTTTCCAAAAATCCAAAAATCCTTGAAATTAAGAATTTAAAAGCGCAAATCAAAATTAATAGCTTGGGTATGTWTTTGCTATACATTGGGATTATCCATACCCTTTCAAAAGTTCAAAATTTAAAAAAAAAAACGTTTTCACAATCCAGGATCCACTCAACCGACGTCCAGTTGAGTGCGATTCCGGATTTCCCAGAATAGCAAATTTCTTAAAAATTCAGAAGAGAGAAGGAAACATCAAGTTTTAAATTAAAGATTTAGAATCTTTTAACCTGAATATACTCTTCTGGTTATACTCTTCTGATCAGTCGAATAGAATACTCAATGAACCTTGGTAACACATGAAAGTCAGTGAAAAATACTAAGGTGCATATGATGGCCAGACAGAAGCAATATTGCTATATTTGGACTAAATTCTTACAATTTATTTGTGATTTCATGATAGGTTTGGCATGGAATACGTGCCTGTAGTATAAAATAAATTAATCTATTTTAAAACAGTACTCCAATCAATTTTGGGATCATGGTTTAGTGTTCATTTATCATGTATTATTCTTTTCTCTACAGTCTATGGTAGCCTATCTATGGTAGCCTAGTACCCTTGGGTGTAATAAGTTTAGTCAGTTTTGGAACCATTGCTCAGTGTTTAGTTACTGTATATTATACTTTTCTCTACAGTCTATGGTCGCCTAGTAACCGTCGGTTCAAACAAGTTTGGCCAGCTTGGCGTCACTGACTACCAAGTTCATCCTAGTCCTTGTTTAGTGAAAGGCGAGTTSATCAGTAAACAAGTTATAGCAGCATCATGTGGGGATGAATTCACGGTTGTGGCTACGGCAGGTAAGAGCATCCTCTGTGATTGGCTACAGATTTTCACATTATAAGTTGAAAATATTTGGAAATATGTCGTGGTGGTGCAGAAGGCCTCCCATCCCAAGTCAATCTCCCATTGTCTCCTTCAGCTACTTTTATTAATTTCTTCTCTTTGTGCTTCAGAGAACATGGTTTACGCATGGGGTCGAGGTGATAACGGTCGTCTAGGTCTAACACCAGAGAACCTCACCAAGAAGAAGAACGGTRTCCCGTGCAGCGCTATTCCTCGTCCAGTATTCGGTACCTTGCACTCTGTTACGAGTATTGACTGTAGACACTGGAATTCCATCATAGTAGCAGGTAAGAACTCGTGTCGTCACGAACAAACTTGTGACGTCAGTAACCTCGTCCAGTATTCGGTACCTTGCACTCTGTTACGAGTATTGACTGTAGACACTGGAATTCCATCATAGTAGCAGGTAAGAACTCGTGACGTCACTAACAAACTTGTGACGTCTAATTGTGACGTCAGTACCCTCGTCCAGTATTCATTACCTTACACTCTGTTACGATTTGAAGTTAACAGTGATTTTTCTTAGCTGCATTGCATTTTCTTTGCTGCATTGGTTTATTGGAGCAAATGGCCTCGTTCCAAGGTTAATGGTGCCATCTTGCCGGGGGTGCAAAAGCATTGAGGCGAGCGCGCGGCCAACGCATCATTATGCCAAAACAAGCTCGCTAGTCTTTGGACTGTAAGATCGCATGTTAAAGACCTGAAGTTCCATAAGTGGCCAAGAACACCCGGAAAGATGGCGTCCATTAACCTTGGATTACCATGATGATTTACATGAACTATGTTTGACCTCTGTTTTGTTTGTGTTGCAGAGAAAGTATTGAAATCCAGGACAATACGGAGTTCTTCGTCTCGATCTATTGAATCACAGTCATGTAAGTAGCCTCCTTCGCAGACGTTATTAGGGTCTGTCACGCAACGCTTCCTYGTGGGGAGGAAAACGTCGCGTGACAGACCTTAAGAACATCTGCGTGGAAGGTTATGGAATTAATGATAATTCTGTTAACATGAGTAATGGTGATGATGATGTTCATACTGATGATGATAATGATGATGATAATGATGAGTGATGATGATGATGATAATGATGATGATGAGTCATAAGGATAAAGACGATGAGGATGAAGATGATAAATGATGAGTGGTGACAAGTGATGAAAAATCTTCAATATTTAACAATTATTCTCCGGAGGCGAAGTGATTATCGGTGTAATGTTCTG